ATCCGGAAGTCAGCTTGATAACTGCAGCGTTGTAATTAACAATTGATGCAATAAGTCCTGTCCTATGAGAATTTCAGGCGGTACGTTCATGAGAAGGACGTTTCTCTGCGCAATCGAGATCTTCTTCCCCTTTATAAAGTTCCGATCTTTTTCTAATAGGTTCGCTGTCCTCATAGTAGTGGACAGCATGTCTTTGGCGGAATCTGATATCCTTCGCAGTTTGGTTGAGCTACAACAGCTTTCCAAGGTAATTCGAACTTCATCAGATTTGAAGGACTCTTGTAACTCTCCCATTCCTATAGTAGTGAACGATGTCGTGCTGAACGTTGGTAATTTCAGCGAAGCTCCAAGTGAGGATTTGATGAAAGCTTATTTGAGCTCCAGAGTCTACTAGAAGAGTATCGTCTGACTCTGATTCATTGAAGACAGTGCTGATGCAATTTGTAGCACAAAAAATTGGGCTGAGAAGCGATTTTGGTCCGACTGTTACATTCTCCTGAGAATACGTGTTTAGCACTGTTTGAACTCCGCTACTCTCTCGATGCTGATGATTCGGCCTCAATAGTGCTTGTACCGCTTGTTCTCTGTCAAAGAGGTGAATCTTGAAAGCAGTTTGGAATTTACCAGGAGGTTGGTACCCTCTCTGAGCTGACGAGTTTGGTACTTGAAGTTGATTTGTAGAAGTGCAGAGTGAAGAATGGTGGTCTTCATTGCATTTAGGGCATTTGCTTACAGCAGAGCATAGTCTAGAATTGTGTCCCTTGCTGAAGCACCTCCAGCAAACTCTTTGTCGTCTGGCTTCTGCTCGACGCTCCTCTGGTGAGCTGAATTTATTACACTGCTGTGGAGAGTGCGTTTCTCCACAAAGACATGTGGGTTTATTCCTTTGGATGGAGGCTGCCCTGTTATTAATGAATCTTTTCTGCTAAACTCTAAACATCTGCTTGTTTTGTTTGGTTTAATCGAAATCAAATAAGTCCTCGTCGTGAGTTCAATTGTTTTCTTCAATGTGATTATCTCATCGATGGATTCCATAATTTCATTCACGATGAGAGAGTTTCCAGTGTCGTTTTCCTTCCTTATCACTTTGCCACAGATCGATTCCGTAAATTTAGGACAGGATGAAGGCGTATGTATTCGATCTGCATTCTTTTGTAGTCCCGTTTGCTTCATCTGTATGATGCGAGAGAAAGTGCAGTGAGAGTTTCACGGCAACACTATTATTACTAACTTATTCAACTCCATGTAGTTTCCTGAAATGTAGGAACTTCCATTATGGACCCCTGGCTTGAACGTTGCGCTCTTGTGAGGCCATTTCACCATTTGACCACTCCTTGACAGCTGCTATAGGCTGTTGGCTTACAGAATGGTTGGGCTGGGATGAGGTTATTAATGCGGTTTGTTGCAAGTAGTTCCTCTTTTCTGAAGTCTATTTTGTTCAGCCATTGTATTGCTGAAATTTCCAGGATGTTCGACTCAGCCTATAGATTACTGTTTATATTTACCATGAGCTCGTGTTCTTGCCCTCCCTTACTTGTCTCGATGGCTTCTTTGGCGCAGGCATCATGAACTGTTCGCTGAATTGATACTCTTTGCGAGATTAAGGACAGGCATACTTAGCAGACAAATGTGTTACATGTTCGAATGGGGAAATGGAGATTGCGCTTCAGCAGGCGTAATTTATCAGATTCAGTGTGAAGCATGTAATTCAACATACATGGGGAAACTGGGAGAGTTCTATCAGTGCGGATTAAAGAATGTTTGGCTGGTAAACGGCGCTGTAATGTAATGAAGGCGAAGAAGCAGAAAGTTAGCTTAGTAAATACTTCAACTTGAAAGGGTTGAAGAATCATTCCTACTGCGTTGTAATGTGTTGACTCCGTTGGGAATACACAGAGCAGAGCAACACGATGGCAATGAATTCAACATTAGGGGCACGGTATTGGCTCACGAGATTTCGTCGAGGAAGGCAGTTCGTTCTTGGATTTCAGCAGAAATCCAGAAATGAATAAACGAAATTAGTGTTCTATCACAAATGATCTCTTGCCATTCATGCAACATTGCGAGTTTCTTGCATAATCAGCGAACGTGCTTGTCCGATATACTGATACAGTATAAGGACAGCAAAGTAACATCATTCGCTACTAATGTTTACTAACTGAGTGTAGTATTTCGCTACACTTCGCGGTGGAACAAGGTAGCTTGTCTTTTGAGTTCTGGGGTTTTCCGTGCGTCCCTGACAGTACGTCAGAAACGCTAGAGGGGAGGAGGCGTTTGGGATAAAGGATAAAGGATAAAGCATTTGCCGTTGATCAATCCCTTTTTGGGATGCGGCACGCATTCTACTTCCATTTGTACATTCGTAGTGGCGTTTGAATGCGATGTGGCCTATACAATGACTTGCGGGGGCCAGCCGATGTACAAGTCAGTGTTTTTATCCTCCCAGACAAGTCTGGTACCAATTAACCGACCCCGGAGGGATGGAAGGCTTGGTTGGCCCGGGCGACTCACGACCCAGGATTTGATCCCCGGACCGCTCGCGTGGTAAGCGTGCCACTTGTCCACTACACCACTTCCGCCCTTTGATAGGGTAGTGTGCACTATTTAAGCTTTGAGCCATGTTTAGGCCTTCGAAAACGACGGGACGCTTGGAAACGTTGGCCAAAATAAAGCTTCCACCTTAGCAACCTCGAGGCAAAAGTACGGCTCACGATTACAATAACAACATCTGGTGGTACTAATTTTAGTACACTTTACAGTAGCTGAAGGCTCTGGAGACTCAAACCTCGCATCAGTGCATGTTTATACTCAGTACCTGTACCTGCCCACTGCAGCGGTGTACGTCTCACTCACCGCTAGTTCCCCTTCTCCTAGTCGCTCCTCTTCCCTCTGGGCTAAGTGTCTCTCAAATTGCCTCATTTTGAACCCCTCAATAACTACACAAAGTAGGCGTTCAGGTTTTTAGCTTTTTTTTTCTTTTCCTCCCTCTAGCAAATAAACCAGAACCTCTTATCTTCTGAATCTGTTTCGTTATTGAAACACAGCTCGCCTCACAGGTTGTTCAAGCGCAAAGATTTCATCGTTTATGCTCACCATTTATCATTTTTATGCCCTTGCAGGAAGAAATGGTGCTTGTTCGGACAGATCGAATCGCCGGGATATGGTATATGTGCTCTCGACAATTAGCAGTAACAAAAGTGTTTTCATTATTATACAACAAATATACAATAAATAGGTAAAAATATAGAAAAATGGGAGCCGTTATTATACAATAAATACACAATAAATAGGTACAGGACATGAGCTCGTTCACATACACTTGAACAAGATGGTAACAGCACAGGTGAGAAGACAACGGATTGAATAAAATTCTAAAAGTCAAGAAGAAAATCAATATTATAGCTAGATGACACATAAGTAAACATTTATAAACACTTGTGTACAAACAGCGTGAAAGCTCGATGATCTGAACGGAAAACATAAATAGCGTTACAAATCGATAATTGATCGGCAAGCGATTCTGAGAGGAGCATGGAGCAACCGTGTGTACATATCATGGACGCTGAGATCATGAAACGCTTCCGGGAAATGACAAAATTCAAACTCGCAATCATCGTGACGATAGTTACAAAATAGTTCTATAAGGTTTCGGGGAAGAAAAATATTTCCAAGGCACAGGAACATCGAGAATCGTGAGCATACTATTCAGATACTATGGAATAATCATATAAAGAGCTATTGGATTGATTGCAGTAATCTTACGTCAAGAATGTCTGCATGATGGAGGAATCGACTACAAAAAGCGCTTTCTGCTTGACACTCTTCACTTTCGGACGATTTGCCGAAACACGGCACTCCTCCATCAGTTGGCGGAGGTGAGACACACGCACGCACCCTAAATGGCTTGCACTCACAGTAATTAGTGTTCTTGATGCAACTATGGTGGGGTAGGGAAAGATAGGAGAAGCACAGCTGGCGGGACGTAGCGTCGCGGAGCTGAGCCGTTTTCCTCTACGTCTCCTGGCGATATAGCGTAAGCTCGCAGACATCACTTCCCGAGCTTTTGATTTGTCCCAGTCCTGCCTTCCAAGCTACACTGGTGTGCAAAACTGAAGGACGAGATGAATAAAGTAACATGACGAGTCTGCGAGCTCGTTATTTCTATTTATCATCTCGACCTTAAGTTATGACGAGGCATATATTTATAAACTGCTGACTGGGTTAAAGGAGACAAGTGAATTAAATTGAAAAATGGTCATAGTCGTTACCTACAACACTGTCTGGGAAAATGATTAGAACAAAAATGGGAAATAAAATTGCGCACCTCGTTCTTGAACCCAAGCCGCAATTGCCTACACATGCCGACCACTCGTTCCACGCTGACCATTCACCATCCGTGGACTCTATAAAGAGATACACCCTAAGCAATGACAACGGACAAATCTTCACCTGTTTATTTATAGTTTCGTGTTGTAGCGATGAAAACCCGCATGCTGTGCATGGAAATATGTGCAATGCATGCAATCCTATTTTTTTGTAGGTTCGTTCGTACGAGAAAAAAAAAAAAAAAAAAACGAAAAGTTGCAAGTAAACAGTGTCCGCGGTCCTGACTTCAACACATTCACGCCGATGGCCGCCCATATGGGCTGCCAACAACATGCGCTCGTGGGACGATGGCAGCCCATATGGGGTGACCAACTCATAATCGCGCTAGGAATGGACAGATAGGTGGGCAAACCTCGTAATCGAGTGTAAAATGCTTTTAAATTCCTTCACGGGGAAAGTGAATAAATGCTCTCTTTTCGTAACCACTATTGTCGTTCTGATCGAAATCCTACTGTTATATGTTTAGATAATCTTTACGCATTGGACATTGCAGAAATTATTTTGTGACATTCATGTTTTTGTTCATTTACAAAACAAAATCTGCGGTTATGTGGTGAGGCGGCGGCGCCCACAAAATCGCGTCGCGTCCGTCGCCACGCGACCGAAAAGTGGAAAAGGGGCGTCGTCGTGAATGTGTTAAAAAGGGACGATGTGAGGCAACATACTATAAGGGGGGTGGTGGGAGGTGGGGGAGAAAAATTATTCTGATGAATCTGCGACAACTTTCCGGCTAAGTTTATAGCAAAATTAAGTGGCAGATGATGATTCTAAAGGAGAGGAAATTTTGCTTCTACTTTCAGACGGTGGCGAACTTTGCCAACATCAGACTTCTGTGAAATGCTATTCATACTGAAAATATCAGACCTTTCTAAACTGGTGATTCCAAAAAATGAAGCAATGCTGACTATTCTTTCTGGTTACTAGGCGAATGTGCACTCAAATTACACTATTTCCAATGTGGAGATAAAATAAGGATTTGTTAGAAAACGTAAAACCCCAGTCGCTGTTAAATCACAAGGTTCTATGCAAGAGTTACTACAAGCCCGCGAAGTAAGTTTGTGCCAAATTATAAGCCTAAAACTCAGGGAAAGCAACATCTCTACTAATTTTTCATGTCTGAGATTGTCCGAGTTCATCTATCAACGAGCACGACGTTGCAACCAGCCTGAGGCTGCCCAGATACCCTCCCCTTCAAAAAGCGAGAAAGTGTCGGGTGCAGACCATGCACCACAAGTGACGACGGCCTTCACAAAATGTTAATGTTTTCTGCCAATGAAATGATTAGCCTGTTGCAGTTGTATTCTATCGATTGTCACTAATTACAACTATCATTTACCAGAAATCAGCTATCACTATGAACAACTTCTAACCAGATTTACTTGGAGGCCGTCGTCAGTTGTGGTGTTTGGTCTGCACCCGACACTTTCTCGCTTTTTGAAGGGGAGGTTATGTACTGCTTCTGCCGCGCCACAAAAATGAGCAGCAAGTGGCACTAGGCATTCACTAAGGCCACCGTACCCTTAGTGCGAGTAAAGCAATATGACTAAATTGGATTGAACTATGAAATATACTTGGCACGGAAATACTTTTGAAATATTGCTTATGGCAGGGTTAGGGCACTGCAGCTTCAGTAAATACACTCCACTTGCGGATGGCTCCAATCCCTAAAGCTGACTTGCCAGAGGTCCAACCCAAAGTGGAAGGACAAGTCACCCGCGGACACTGTGCAGGTGTGGTAATGAACGTAAAATGTGCGAACCGTTGCATGATTCAGTGCCGCAGACCGATGTCTGATGGGCTAGACCGTGGCAGGCCTCTCCACCCGATGATGGAGCCGGGTTATTACATGCACGATGCCGTGACTGTATGGCGAAACCACATCCGTCCGGACATTCGCTCCATGCAGACCACATTCCCCAAGCACCATTCACCGCTGTAAGTGCAAAGCGTCCAAGAAAAAAAAACCAAAAGATACATATATGGCGAAACTGAAAATTCGAAATTTTGAAGAACAATTCTTTCAAGATGTGACGATTTCCTTTTTAGAAGTGATAGTGTGCGCCGGTAGCGGTTTTCCTATGAGATTGTTATGCAGTCGGGGCTTCCGTTTCTAGGATCCTCTTTCCAAATAAACAGGAAGGTGCTTCAATAAATGAGCGATTTTACAAATGGTTCCTTGCATGTTATAGAGGTACATGGTCGAGCACAGAAATGGGATTAATTTCATTTGCGCCGCCCTCTGAGTGCCAGAAAAAGCAGAAAAATCATTCGGAAGTGCAGCTTTCACAGATTCGAAGTAATATTGAGGATATAGAACACTGCCTTATCGTGAACCAAAAGGCTCGTAGGCAACATTGAAAACCACGCAAATTTTCTTCAGGAACGAATTAATGCCAATGACGTGTGGTAGAAGATTTATTGGAGTCTCATAAGAAGCTTTGGCGCGGCTGAGGTTAGAACGGTCAAGTGCTCTAGCAGATAACGCTTCAGACTCGCATGGACCCGCCATAACTGAGGTCGATGTTTTTCGGATGCTCACATAAGAATATTCGTAATCGAGGGAGTGTATAAACCTCATAATACGTGTTTAGGAGAAAATCGCATACGTTCAAAAAACTGGGCCATCGATAAGTCAGGACTGTCATCCTACTGGCGGACCACCTGGAGACGAACTACTAGTCATTCTCTCAAATAATAAAATATTCAACCCTGGATGGATCATGGTACAACATAACCTATTGATGATGACCGGAAAGACGTCCATAACGAATAAGGAAGTTGAGATGACCAAGGCGCATATTCTTTCATTCATCAAAGAGGGCGTGGTTTAGCTGTCTTCCCTTTCACTAGCTAGGGTTCTTGTCAATAAATGTACCTGATCACGTCATCGTGCCAGATGTGCTTCAGGGAAATAAATAAGAAATGCTCCAGGGAATGCCGAAGTAGAACCCTACCACTTCCTTTCCTCCAAGTAGGTCACCAGGTTTCTCACTGTTCGCTGGCTTACTACTGCCCCATTTTGATGTAGGGTTAAAAACTTGATTTTCTCCAAAACTACCACCATAAGGGTAATCTAGGGGGCTGATCACGCTGACATCCGGGCAATATGCCGCCATTTTAGCCTTAAAGATCCTGATCGTAAGTACTACAGAACAAACTTTTGGCACCTTTTTGCGCCATTCAGCATGCGCTAACCAAAATGCGAAATTTTGTCATCAGCCGGAATCGCTCCCTCGAATTATTTCATTGTTTTTTATGGTATCCAAAGCTCCGTGCAGAAAAAGGAAATTGAGGATATTTCCAGCTTCCATGTACATGTGTCTATTAAATGCGATAAACCATTTTGAAAAACGCTCCATGTTCTGAAAAACCTTCTTGGTAAGCTCTGCTCTGCCGATGTTTTGAAGAGCGAAATATTCACAGATTCAGGACACCCTCAACCGAGTCCCACTTGAAGCGTTGAAGGACACCCAAGCAGCCGGTTCCTATCCCAAAGTCCTCCGTGGTAGTTTCATGTAAAACATCGCTTCGATACTGAATCACTGTCAGAGAGGACATGAGGATTGCGGCAGCGCAGCGATGCGAGATCGCAAACCTTTTGTGGACTGTGCGGAACGTGAACGTCGCACAGCAACGAGGCAGAGTCACCGGACGAGTCGGATGTACCATCTTACTACGTCCTACATCACAAATCACCCGCTGTGACCCGTCCGCTGCTTCTCGCTTTTGCGTTCTCGCCGCGGGACGGGCCTCCTGTCGGGTGCCCGAACGTACACGGAGAGTTACAGCAACGATAAGTCATAACGACGCAGCGCGCGATAACCATTTCAGCGCGACGCCGCAAACCTCACTTCCTGAACCACCAATTGTGTTACCTAGGAACGAAAATACATTTCAGGGTCAGTGCAGTGGGATGACACCTTTTGGTCTGATGCCCTAAAAGGTAACCGCTTAGGCGTGAAGAACTTGCTACAGTTGTTTCAAATGAATCCTACATGGCCAGATCCTGAACCAATTCAACTTAAAATTGCCGATAAGGACGCTAAATGCTATGAAATAGGTGACTTTAAAAAAACATCCCGTATTTGGGAGTGTGTGCAAGTACCGAACTCAGTAAACTCATTAGTATCAAAATTGAAAAGAAAAACGTAAGCATCCATTACAGTTGCGGCATTTGGCTTGATTTACACACGGCTGCAGCTCAAAATCACTTCCGAAACATGGCCGTCCTCCTTGTGAGGGACGCGGCTTCGAGCAGTACCTGAAAAAGAAAGGTTGAAAAGGAGTTGTAGTTTCAAAGGGATTGTAGGAAGGCGGTCTTGGAAGAAAAGCTTCTCCTTGTGAGGATGAGCTTCATTATGCTGTTACTATTGGGAGATTGAATTCCAAAGTAATCATCTAAAGCATTGGAAAGCGACTGAAATCACCAACCTTGTTCGACTTCGATGTGCGTTGACACAGGAATCTCCACAGTCACTCCATTCGCTCCAGTCACTCCACCCACCATCAACGCGAACACCACAAGGCGTTGATGAGGTACACGGACGCTGATCGAACGAGTAGCCGACGCAGTACGAGCCTCTAAAATGCAGTCTCGCTCTGAAAACGCGGTTGAAGATAAGATAAGAACAAAGTGAATGGTTGGTGGTGGGGAGGGGGGATGTGGAATTACCCGAATGCCCTGGAGCCTTATTGATGACCTTCAGAAATCCACCTCTCGTGGCACGTCCGGCTTCAGCCATCTAGCTCTAGCCGTTCAAAAAGAGAGCATTATAGGGCAGCACCGATGAGAGTCGCATCAGTGCGGAATCAACGATCAAAGGGGTCTCATTTCTCGGGTTCTGGGATGTTTCTCATGGTTTTTCTTCATCCTTGCCTCACTGACCACCTCTACCTTGATTCTCAATAGGCTGCCTTTCCATCGTAAACTCAGCCAGGAAGGAGCGTAAGGGGAGCGAGGGGTAGCGGTTGTGCTGATATGCCGGCTGTAGATATTTTGGGGAGTTATCGCAAGGTGCAGGGGCATTGCGGCAGGAAGGCATTGAAAGCGCTTCAAACAACTCTTTTTTTGTTGTTATAAACCAGACTGCTTTACGCTAGAAGGGACCCCAGATCCTTGGCGTCCCTCATTATCCCTAAATGCTTATAATCCCCCTCCTAGACCGAGGGGGATGTTTCCGTATCTTGCAGCGCCACCGTCATACAGTGCCGATTTTGGTTTCACTTGTTAGGCCGCTTTCAGAGTGTGCTCCAGATGTGTCGAGCAGAACACAGCCGCCGCAACGCAAGCCCCATAATTATTTCGAGCCGTATGCTGCAGGGATAATCGAGTGAGGCTGTTTTCTTTGCTTTCTATCAAGCTTCCATGGGAAGCGGCCTAGGCCCGCTTCTGACTTGTTACAAGCGGCATCATGGCTAACAGGAGGGGACGTGAAGTTGTGTTGACGTTTTCTATACGGACGACTGCGATGAGGACTTCGCTTGAAAAAATAAAGGAAAAATCATAATAGGGGAGTACGGTTTGTAAAGATTCATGAAAGCCATGCCCAGAGTGTTTTCTATTCCTCCCTTGACCATACTTAATATCTTCCAGCGAGCAAGGTTAATCCTTGGGCCAGGTTGACCCATTCACGCCCTTGAACCACCAGGTAAATGCGCTCTGAACTGCTTATTCGACAGCATATCATAGACCAACAATTAGCAAACTTTTGTGGGGACAGGGACGAAATCTGAGGGACTTTCCGGAAGTTCGAATTCGTAACTATACTTGACCAAAACCCCTATGGATTTGCTTAGAACCTTGATCCGATGCTTGCCGTGCCATGCTTCCAGACCAGACTTGATTCAGGAAATTTCCTGTAATCAGCGCTGAATAGTGCTAAGTTTTTGAAGCACCCCTGAGAACGATCCCGCACCCCAGCACACATTCGCATTGCTGCTTCTGCCCGTTTGTCTGCTAGTGTGTACATGAAGAAGCACCTGTTGGATGGAAGCGGCTCGGAGCACATGCGATTACGAATTTGGTGTCCAGTTCCCTGACAGTCTTTTGAACATGAAGACCATTCTGACCATCCCGACCATCCTCCAGGGGAAGCTGCGCATGACTAAACAAGTGAAGCTTTTTTAAATATTTTGTGAAAGCAAATGTTAAGTGCACTTCAACACAACCGATATAATACAATTACAACGGGATATCATAGTTCTCACTCTTGCTGCGCATGGTCGTTGATCGAGTATGGCTCCTGTGCAGAAACCTTGAACGGCTGGGTCCGAAACCAGGCAAAATCGTCGCCTGCTTTCCATTAACGTGAAGCACGAGCACGATGACCACGACGACCATTCTGACCACGTTGGAACTGAAGACTTATTAAATAAAGCGTTACGAAATATGATAGTCCATTAGGGGAAAATTAGAATGTAGTTGGCAACCGACCGCTTACTGGGTGAATCGCCTGGGATGGCACGCAGGAGATCTGAGCCGAGCACGATCGTGTTTGTATCGGCTGGCCTTCACACTGAAAATATGAATTTATTGCGTAGACTATTTCACCGTTATCTGTTGACAGTTCGCTTAGGAGTTTCAGCTACAAACCTGAAAGAAAGAAGATCGAAGACATGTTCTTCGTCTCGACTGGATGCCATTGTCTCCACAAGTAACGGAGCATGTTGTCCAGGCTGTCCAAGATGACCAAAGCGATTCTGAAATTCTGGACGGTAGAAGGAGACGTGAAGCCTTCAAATATGAAGGCGTAGTACCTGGAGGGCATGGTTGCTCATTACACTTCTCTTTCACGGATTCGAGCGGTTGAGGTGGACAGTTGTGCCCAATACAAACTCTTGACCTGGAACCAAAAAAAGAACATGTGCGATAAATTTTCTGAGCAGGACGACGAAGCTTTTGATCAGGGCATGTTCTCTGTCCCGGGAGTGTATAATTGCGGTTTATCCATGAAGTGGATCAAACTTAGAGTCGAAAAAACTTTACAGAAGAATATTCTGCAGCCAAAATTTGATCAAATAATATGACGATTTGAGGGCAGTCGAAGGGAAATGTCAGTCTGAAGGCCTACGGCGGAACGCGGCATCGCAAGCGGCGTCCCGCGCTGATCATTTGGACCCGATTCCAAGTAGCACTACGTGTTCACGATTCAGCGCGCGGCTGACTCCTGAACGGTACTAGCGTGATGGTAAGCTTTGAGAAGGGTCTTGTCGCCTTTAAAGTAATCTATTGAGGATTGAGGCAAAAGGAGACCAGGCCCAATCGAATTCGCGAATTTAAAGGCCACAACCCAGCAGTGGTCATGTGAGCGCTTCCCTTCGTTCTGTTCTTTAGCCCTAGAGTAAACTTGCTTTCCCTGTGCAACTGGAAACCAACCGTACAAAGAAACACTTAGCTCTTGACAAATAACGTCTGAACTGCCAGCTTTTTCGTCCATCTAACCCACGGTCTGTTTTCTCTGCGCTCCTCTCCGACTCAGACTCCCCCTCTCCGCGCTTAAGTCCTCTCATTCACAGTGACTTAGCACAAGACGACTAGAAAGGTGAGTGACCCTTGTTAGTCTGAGCGTTTTCGACGGATTCTCCTCCTTTTCTTTACCGCCATCCCATTTCGCACCAATACATTTCGAGTGCAAGAGCCACACCGATATGAACAAATGAATAACGCGCCTCCTATTTGAATGATGCACAGCGGTGCGCTTGAGGCACCAGCGATTCGAGAGCCTGAGAAAGTGGCGAAAACTCTCTCACCGGTGCACCACTCGGATCGCTGGTGCTTTTCTCACATCCCTCGATTCATTACATCGGCAAGGAAGTTGACACCCTCACATGTACTACTTATCAAATAGGTGAAAACTCCAGTTCGGGGGGGCCACTCCATTGCTATCTTATCCGTAGTACTAGAGAGCAGTTCTTTGGGCTATCGAACACTACGGATAAGATAATAAGTGAACGACTCATTTCGAGCGTACTTTTGATAAGGACCGGTGGATGTCCTACATTCCACACTACCTGCCCACATCCCATCCACTTTTCTGCACAGGTGATCCACCCTGGAGCTCCTGCACCCTTAGTCCCTATTGGAGGTGTCCTTTCTCCTGGTCCAGGACCGTTCCCTTGGGTCATGGCAGGCGGAAATGTGAAAACGTTTCAGGGTTTCTCACCCATTACACCGATATTTATCAGAAAGTCTACTTTAAATGAGTCGATTACGTGTCGTGAGCCCTCTAATCCTTATCTTGAGTATTGGAGAAAAAATGGAGTGGCCCCCCCGAACTGGAGTTTCACCGCACTCTCCTAGCACAGCAGCAACAGCAGCAAGAAAGGCTATCGCTGCAGAGAAGTCAGAAAAAATGCAGTAGAAGAGCTCTGCAAATCGGTGTGCCTAAAAGTCACACCACAGAAGGGACACAGACTGTGCAGGAGATTTATTTCGTGACCTGCCATCTCTATTACCCGGGTAAAACTATTAAATGTTGACGACTCCACCTTCTTCTTTTGCCAGTTCCGCAACTTTGAGAGCATTCCGTCCACTCCATCCAGTTACCCCATGTTTCATCTGTGATTGGAACTATGCGACCGCCATGAGCAACAACCTGAATCAAGACAATTTTAAGGATTTTGTAACGTTCAAATAACTTCCAGTCTAAATAGACCGAATATGCTTCAGCCTATCGGAAATCGAACTCCTTAAATGTTTGCCACAATCTCACAGATGCTTGTCTTCGATTGGTGAGGTGAGAGGTCCCGTCTTCATTTTTAACGATGTGGTCGCGCTGAATATGGGGTCGGACTTCTCGCGCACCATTTGGGGGAGACGTTAGCAGAAACTCCGTTTATACGTCTAACGAACACTGTTTTTAGGACTTAAGGAGCACTTTCTCAGTCTGGGCGCAAAGCAATGGAAGTACTGAAAGTCAAGTGCACGTGTGGGTACGTGTATCGTGACGACTACAATTGCACATATTGCGCGATTAGGGGAGGAAACCTTGAGAGTCCGCACCTAACGACCCTCGTTCCGATGCTCCCCACCCTCCTCGATTGATCTACAGACCATCGTGCTCACTCATCCAAACGGCTCTTTCTCGTGTGTCTTCCAAAATGATTGCCCCTAAATTCGCCGTCGTAGTAACGCGCCCCTAATTGAAGATTCATGTCCTCAACTTAGCGTTGCCCACATGATTCCTACCTTCCTTCCTTCCCCATTTCATGTGCGCACTCATCAATCAACTACGAAGCGATCTATCCCGATTTACCCCGACGGGGCCTAAATAACCTCCCTTTTATTGTGAACGGGGCTACGGTAAAACATTAGATCTAACGGGTGATGTATTCCGATCAATCACGCCAGATCGCATAACCTTAGCAAGCATATAGCATGGCACAAGGAATCGAGCTGGTAAGGCGCCTACGAAACCTGGCTGGGCCTTCGAGACCATAGAATACATCTTTGCTTCCTAGATGTCTGCGCTAATGGCGCACGCGCATAGTCATTTCTATGGTTTCAATATCCGGTCCGCACTGAACCACACTCGCCTGGTCGCCGGCTCGTCAATCCATTGATCGCAAAATCATACGAAAAAGTGATGAATAATAGAACTCTACTTGACAAATTCCATATGACCTACCCTCCGGTCTTCCTTTTCCCCAAGTTATCAATTTCAATGTCAACGAATGATGTTAACCATCCCGATATCCCAGCACTGTTACAGTACTCGTCACACGGCTCTTCATCTTGTGTTGGTCCTGATAAGAATGAATTAGGAGAAGGGATTTAGAGAAAGTAGCAAAAAAAATTCAAAAAGGAGCAAAGGGTAATAACACAACAAAATATCACCTTCACATGACGCATTGCTTTCGCTTGAGTGCGCGACGCACTGCCTTGCCCTTGTCCGGCTGTGAACATTGGAACAAGAAGGACATTCTGACCACTCGGACCACTCATCCCACGCGGGACAAGGCCCACTGACGCAACGACGCGCTGTACGTTGTCCTCCAGGTTGGGGCATGGGGACCTTATAACGAAAAACACAGTATTTGATGCTAATCTCTGGTGCATGGCTAACATGGCATGCTCGAAAAAGTGCGTGAAACACAGAAATGAAGTTCACCTATGAAAAATGTGAATGCCAGAAGTACAAAAGCTTTTTTCACTATGATGGAACGATCACGAGAAATTCACATTTTTTATATTTCTAAAGGTTGATATTTGGCATTATTTCTTCTTCTCTTTATTCCTTACGTCTTGTCCACCGCTGTAGCGAGTCCCTTTCTATATTTGGCGCACACTTTCCAATTAAACGCTGATTCGGGGTGGGTAATTACACTTAAGTCTTGTGCAATGTATCGAGCCATCGCTGCTTCGGGCGCCCCCTAGGCCGCTTTCCGGGCACGTCAAGGTTGAGACCGATCTTACAGACACTGTCATCTTTCGCGCGAAGGACATGACCATACCATCGAAGACGGGCTTCGCGCATCTTGTCGACAATTGGAGCCACCCCGAATCGCTCTCTGATGACATCGTTTCGGATGTGGTCTACTCGTGTGACTCCGGCTGTCCATCGCAGCATCTTGGTCTCCATCACACTTAGCCGTGCTTCGATCTCTTTAGTCGTAGGCCAGCACTCAGCACCGTAAATCGCGACCGGCCGACGGTCCTATACCTTGGATTTGAGACGTTCTGGCATGTTTTCATCGCAGAGAACGCCAGTCATCGAGCGTTGAATTTCATTTTTTTGAATTTTTTTTGAATTTTTGTCATAAAAATATTATAAAAATAAAAAAAATTGAATTTCATTTCATCATCAGCGTCGATATTTGGCATTATTCAACTAGGGCGAATGATTATTATAAAGCAAAAATTGTAGGTCGAAGTGGCTATTTCAGATAAGATGTGTATTATCTAAGCCTCTCCGAACGCTGACCTCAGGCCTGTAATTGGTCTGTATTCCAGATCTACCGGAATTCTTTGAACGAAGACACAGAGGTTTCTCTACTACAGAGCAAACTCGAGCTCAGCAAAAATATACGATGCTTACGCTCCGTTAATATACGATGCTACTTATGCTTGAATGTGGACCAGCTAGGAACAGATGTTTGCAGGCAAAGTCTAAGTCAGGAAGCTTGAAGCGAAACTTACACTAAATCAAACTTCAGTTGTTCAGTTGAGCAAGAGAAGGTTTTTTACATTCTGAGCTCCGTTAACGCTTTAGGCAAGAACGCAAGAAAGACGCGCATCCGATACCATGCTGTAAGCCGCTGCGCCTCTCTTACCGTTAGGTTGTTGATGTGGCAAAAAGCATTCGCAACTTTCACAAGAGTTTGGTTGTGGACAAGCGTCACCCCCAGACTCGAACCCGCACCTCTTACTTACCGGGCAATTGCGCTACCAGTTACGCTACCGCGGCACCATTTCATCCAACCTCAGCTTTTCATGGTATACTTACCGCAGCTTTCAGCACTCTATACTTACACCTGTGAGGGCTGACACGCTCTGGTAAGTATACCATGAAAAGCTGAGTTGAGATAAAATGGTGCCCGGTAGCGTCACATGCTTCGGTAAGCATAGAGGTGTGAGGTCGAGTCTTGGGGCGAAAATTTTGTTCACAACCCAGCATTCTTGTACAACTTTTGCAAGGCGAAGGGCGGCCAACAGCAGAACAATCAGAAACTTCGTAACTTTACTTGCAGATGGAAGACAAGCTTGAAATCAGCGTTGAAAAGTCACTTCGACCTACCATCCTTGGCTTTTTTTAGCATTTTTGTGCTGCATGCATGTGCCCTTTCAAAACTTCACAAAACTGCTTTGATGGAATTCCTTAAATCATCAATTTTCAAAATGTAACTCCTGCTTTCAACATCAAGTTGAGGCACAGCTAAAAAGCAAATTCAGACATAACTAAAAGCAGATTTTGCGCTTGTTCATGTGCAACTAATCAGCAATGAAATAAAATTGGGTATGGTAATATGTAGATCAACAGCAAAGAGCTAGAAAAATTGCTATAAATTCTCAAGAACACATTGCCTTCTCAGGGTAGAGACGAATTGTGCTTTTCTAACAAGGGAGGTCTTTCAGGGCAAGCCACGCTTTTTCAAAACGGTTTTTGCATATTGTAGGGACGCATGTAGGGAACACAAAACCATGTTTCATTTTCGCTGAACGGTTTTAGCAGTACCAAAAAAGAAGCATAAGGTACTGTTAATGGTTCGATCCCCCGTGGCGACTAAATTTTGCATTTGGGTTGGCGCCTACGGTTGGTGCCAAATCGCGCTAAATGTCAAAATCAAGATGTCATATTCATCGTCGCTGCGGGGGATCGAACCATCGAAGGTATCATTCACCACTTTTTTGATACTACTAAAACCGTTCAGCGAAAACATTTCCAAAAAGCCCGGCTTGCAACGAAAGACCCCCTTGTAAGTGATCAACCATTCCCCTTGGAGAAGAGAGGCCGACCAGAAGCGCAACCATATCGTCAGCATGCAAGGTGATTTGAAGTGTTTTGCACTTTCCGTTCACTCTACTCTTACTGTATGACCAATAAATATTTCCTACTTCGTTTTTGGATGCAGTAACATCTACAACGGCAATTATTGAGCGTGAAATGTTGTCCCACATTGGATTAGTACTGTCATGTTCTCAAAAGCTACGCCTGATCTGTACTCTGAAGTATCGGGCCAGTAGAACGGTAAGAACAGACGGGCAGACCTCGCTTGCATTTCCTTTCTTTCGACTGAAAACCTTCACCGCATGTCTGACTGCATTCCGACCACTCGCTCCATTCCTCCCAAACAAACCCGTCGGAATTTTCAGGGCAGGGCTGAAACAATTTTACTCATTTGACGCTTCATCATGGAAGATTCATTCATGAATGTAAGCACACCTGCTCATTGCATGTCCTTGCTTGCTTGTTTGCTGTCTCGCACAGAACGCCTTCACACAGTCGTTCACGAATTTGAAATCCAATGCCGCACGAAACTGAGCAGGGGAGCCAGTCGCCCCATACTCCCGTTGAACATCGCTAAAAGATGTTTGTAAGCCCCACCAGTGTCTTGTGAAGGAAAATGTGTTAGATTCTCTTGACATTTCTGATATTAAAGGAAGACTCCACGGTAAGAACGAAGGTCGAAGAAGGAGTAATTTAGCTAGTTGAGAGACAGGCGGACCACCCGCCCAAAAGGTGCGGACCAACACACGATTCGCATTGAATGATATGCCCCAGGGCCAACTGTCACGTTCGCACTTTTTCGAATTTTTTGCGACCCCCCTGAAGGGGGTCCAGGTGCGACCCCACTATTGCTGTTAAGAGTGCTGTTAAGTGTAAGTGTGCTGCCAATGTTTTAATACATTCACATTTACATTTTATTACATTGCCATTCTTTTATTCTTCGCAATACATCTTTGAATTTTTTGAAAAATTCAAACTCAAGTAATAATGCAGAACTCGAAAATTTTCTTCATGTTCTCAAATTTTTATAAAGATCATAGATCAGCCACCTTAACACATGAAAAAACTCACTTACAGAAAAGGAGGAAAAAATGAATCGTTTGCGGACACATCAACTTAAAACCCATTGCCTTTGCATGGACAGCAGCTCACGAATTGAGCTGCTGTCCACGCCAAGGCAGTTTCGGTGGCGGATCCTTGAAATTGCGACCCCCTCCCTGCCCATGACCAAAATGCGACACCATCGTTCGAATAGTGCGAACGGACGGTTGACCCGGCTATGCCCCAGGCGATCTAAGATGGCCTTCCCTTTGGCGCAGTTGGCGGAGACGCCCACCGACTATCTAATCACTCGCCGCAGGTCTATACGTGGCGAGTGATTAGATAGCAGAGAGAGCGTAGTGTTGAAGAGGGCACAGCGATGAGAGTCGCATCGCAATCAACGGGCAAGGAAGGGGTCCCATTTCTCGGGTTTCGGGCCGTTTCAAATGGTTTCTTCTTCATCCCTGCTCCACTGACCACCTCTACCCTTATTTCCAATGAGCTAACTTTTCATCGCAAATTCTGCCTCTAAGAATGACTGACGCGGTTTCATATGAGTCGTTGGGAATCCAGTGTTTTTTGCTGAAACTGAAACCACTTGCAGCCAAGTGAGTGCAACTGGTTTTTGAGCCCGTTACACTGAGTTTAATGAGTTGGTTCCGCCAAGCCTGTGGAGCAGAACGCAAACACTCTAGTTTGTCTCTTATCTACATTCGCGTTTGACCGACACACGTCCCTCACAAGAAGGTTTTCGTCGTTTGTTGCCATTGATATTCCTGCTCTTGCCTGACAGTACTTGTGCAATCTTCGTGATTTCTAAACGTTTGCTTACCTCCGTGTTGCACTGTGCAACTTCGAACGCGGCTCCTTCGCATTCACCGGACAGAGGGCAGACACGCTGTCGTTTTCTATGACCACCATCACACGTTTGTGAGCACTGGGTCCATTCAGACCATTCCAGCCAACAAGCCATCTGAATCCAATTCGCTAAAAGTGTAATTTACGCAGAAAGCCGTATTCAATGACCTTTCCAGGAATCCAGCAGGGTCGTTTCTCCTCAGTTTTTCCATCGCATTCATCTGCCAAGCATTGTCTCTTCCGTCTTTGTTGCCCTTGTCCACATTCGCTTTCGCATTTGGTCCATTCGCCCCATTCTGTGACGTCTTCACACTGTGGCGGACGTGGGAGGCATGGGCGCTGCTCTTTTCCTTCCCCTAAACGATTAAAAGATTCAATATTTGTTTTTCAACATAGTTCTGTGAATGGCGTATGCAGACGCCGAAAATGTTGGTTCAGAAGAAAATATACGTGTACGAATGTGGTGGCAAGGGGGCTCGCTCGATTTTGCCATTAAAGCCACACTCGAAATGAGGCACGTTCTCCTGTTCCATACCCGAGCGTGGCGGACAGGAGGACAAGCGTTTATATCGCATCCTTTCGTTGCTTGGAAGAATGCGCTGGGAGCTCGCTCGACCCGCAATCCACTGCTTCGTCCGCAAGCTCTGCATTCCGCGGTCGGCTGCCAAGCGACGTTGCGAAAAAAATCGCAAATGCATTGCGGGTCGCTGGAGCAACTAGAGCTAGGTTCGTGGAACTCGCCCACCACGCCCCTTCTCCATCTCAAGGCTGGAATAGAGGAGGTCCTTATCCGGAGCGTAATCGGCAGCTTCTCTTGCTTATTTTTCCAGACCAGTCCCATCTAGCTTCATTAAAAAATGCTCTTCCCCACCTAGAGATTCGGTTCGGAGCGTTTACGTTGACGACGTTAGCACTGATATAACTCGCGCACAGCGAAAATCAAAGGGTAAAGCAAAGTTCCTGTTCAGGCTTCACTTCTTATCTCAGGTTTTTCTTCTTTGTTATACCTCTTAGCAGCAGTACTCCTATTACAAACGGGCGGTCATTCTTGTCCCTCCTGCTTGCAATTTTCACCCTACGTAAATGCCATCAATATGCGCTACCCCTCGTGTGAATTTATCGCGTAAATAGGTAAATCAAGCGCTGAGTGTTGAAATATAAGGAACAAGCATTTCTTCTTCTTCTTTAGCGTTTGTCCCGCTTGTTGGCGGGGTCCGCTTTTCTGATGTGCTGACGCCACTTTTCCCGATTAAATGCTTGGTCGGGGTGGATGTTAACCGACTTCAAGTCTTCGTGCAACGTATCGAGCCAGCGCTGCTTCGGGCGTCCCTAGGCCGCTTTCCGGGCACGTCAAGGTTGAGACCGATCTTACGGACACTGTCATCATTCGCGCGAAGGACATGACCATACCATCGAAGACGGGCTTCGCGCATCTTGTCGACAATTGGAGCCACACCGAATCGCTCTCTGATGACATCGTTTCGAATGTGGTCTAATCGTGTGACTCCGGCTGTCCAGCGCAGCATCTTTGTCTCCATCACACTGAGACGGGCTTCAACTTCTTTAGTCGCAGGCCAGCACTCAGCACCGTAAATCGCGACTGGCCGGATGACGGTTCTATAGATCTTAGATTTGAGACGTTCTGGTATGTTCTTATCGCAGAGAACGCCAGTCATCGAGCGCCATTTCGACCAGCTGCACTCACGCGAGAATTCGTTTCAGAAGCCAGACTGCCATCAGACGCGATTGCTGATCCAAGATACTTGAATGTCGTTGTACGTGTGAGCTCAGTACCATTGATCTTAATAGAGCCTGGCTCACTCGAATCGGTGGTCAAGTACTCTGTCTTTTTGACGTTCAACCTGAGCCCGAACATAGCCAGACGGTCGGACCAGGTTTGCACCTGTTGCTCGAGCGTGCTTTTATCTTCGCTAGCGAGCATCACGTCATCAGCATAAAGAAGCGTCCATGGAGCCGGCTTCTGAAGATCTCTCGAAATGGCATCCATGACGACAACAAATAGGAGTGGGGATAGCGCAGAGCCTTGGTGTACCCCGACAGAGATGGGAAAATCCATCGATGTGCCTGCTGCCGTTTGCACTCGGCTCTTTGGACTCGAGTAAGGATGCGCACCCACTCAATAAGCTCTTCGGGAACGCCATGCTGTCGTAAGGCATACCATATAACGTCACGCGGAACGCGATCGAAAGCCTTCTCCAAGTCTAGGAAGGCAAGAATGCACCGGTCTTTGTTTTTCGCGATGTTTTTCTAGCAGAAGGCGAGCGGCGTGTATGGCATCGATGGTGCTGCAGCCAGCCACAAAACCACACTGGTTGGTGGTCAGATCAACGATGTCCCGGATACGACTGTCTACAATTCGCTCAAAGATTTTCATGCTGTGCGAGAGCAGGCGAATTGGACGGTAGCTAGTGCAGTCTCCAGGACTGCCTTTCTTCTTCCAGATGGGAATCGTCGTGCTCTGTTGCCAGCTCTCAGGCACCTTCTTCTCTGCAACGACCTGGTTGAAGAACTCCGTCAACCATTCTGCAGGATTCCAGCACTTTGACTTCCACAAGTCGGCCGCTAAGTCGTCGGGACCAGTTGCTTTGCCTGATTCATCTTCTTCATGCCGTTATGGTCTCCTCCACGGTTATCTTCTGAACGGGACCGTGTACTGGCGGAGCACAGGGGATGGCGGATGAGCAAATTCGACTGTTGAGATGTTTCGAAGTAGTCACGCCATCGCTTCAATGTTTTCTTGCGGTCCGTCAAGAGGTGGCCATTCTCGTCATTTATGCCGAAGAACTTTTCTATATCCTCGGTCTGGCGATAGCGGGTCTTTGCAAGTCGGTAAACGTACCTCTCGAACAGCGTGTTCTCTCGCGCGTTTGGTTTTCTTTGATCTTGTTTCGCCGTCGTACCACATCCGACTTACTAAGGTTAAGGTCCTAATTTTAGCGTTTCCGATGAATTCTCTTGTTCCACTTTCCACTTTTAGTTCATTCCGCAGCTCAGTCATCATTACGAAGCACCCATATACATACATCAGTTTTCTTCCGAAGCTTGCCTTTAAGCATAACGGTCTTTTTCGAAGTTTCCCAAACGTTATACATATACGCTATTTGACCCCGGGACTGATAATAAAAAGGATAAAGCATTTGCCGTTGATCAATCCCTTTTTGGGATGCGGCACGCATTCTACTTCCATTTGTACATTCGTAGTGGCGTTTGAATGCGATGTGGCCTATACAATGACTTGCGGGGGCCAGCCGATGTACAAGTCAGTGTTTTTATCCTCCCAGACAAGTCTGGTACCAATTAACCGACCCCGGAGGGATGGAAGGCTTGGTTGGCCCGGACGACCAGGATTTGATCCCGGACCGCTCGCGTGGTGAACAGCGCCACTTGCCACTACATAAGTTCCGACCAAGCGCCGTGTTATGGAACATTTTTGTTACGGCTCTATAGTGCATGGTAATACTATACTGCCACTTGAAACACCGCTACGGCCCCATCAGAAACTTCCGATTCACATCCAGAATTCTCCGAATATTGGTCCTCAGAAACCCCCTGACTATAGACTGGTGCTGCTGCGCGTGATGCGCTGCATTTATATATTGATGGCGAGCAGTGAGTGTATTTTACAATTGGTGGATTTCTCGATTTAGAGCTCCACCAAGCGCGCCCACCTTGACGGCTATTAGAAGACAAAAGGGTCCTTATCCCAACTCACCTACGCAATCTGCGAGTCCGGACGAACTGACGCAATCGCGCTGACGAACCTGCCTACCGTGGGGCCCGCAAGAAGCTGTGCACTCAGACCAAGCTGACCTGAAATATAAGAAACTGCTCAACAGTCGGTTCCCCCGACCGCTTTCCCGCCTTGCCTTCTTGCTCTACTTCCCCAAATGCTTTCTACAATTCGTCATAATTGTCATAATAGTCATAGCTCGTCAAAATTTTATCACGAATCTATCTCCCTCTCCTTTACGCCGAGCTGTGAATTATTTCATCTTGATCCCTCAAACGATTATGCCGTGTTTTCTTTCGCCCAACTTCCCCGCTCTTCTTCTCGCCTTGATACTTATCACGTTATCCCTTCAAACAAGATTTCTGAGTTTTGGATCACTGCTTAAAAGGTGCACCCGGCCAAAAACTCACCGGGATTGAAAATCTGAAACATTCCTTCCAATCAGCATATGCAGAGACAAACACAGCGGTGCACTTTGCAAGTGGTGCGAAAGAGCAAATTGTTAATGCTGTGTGTAAAAGAACTATCCTACAGCCTATTAGCGTGAGGTTAGGCTTTGTCTTCATTTTTGCGCCAGCGAAGTCATTTCAAAACTCATCATAATTGCTCATAAAATGTCATCCTCGTACCGATATTGCACAGGATTTATAAGATAATGCTAGTAAAATAGCGCTACGAAAATTCGGAGCTGCCGCAAAATTAGGTAATGCAACAAGTCCCACCAACCAAATAGTTACACTTCCGACGGATCAGGGGAGGGGAGGGGGGAATTGTGAGCTGTTTACTATGCCGAGACAAGTGAACTTCACGGAGTTCCTAGCGCAATTATAAGTGGGCCCAATTTCACCACACAAATTATCTGTCTCTAAAATATAACACTTTCATCTGTGAATTAGAGGAATAAATCGCGAGGTTTCTTATGCTAACACACCAAACCACACCATACTCTTTACTGCCCAGTAACATTCACATAACGTTCTGTAGATCACTGACACTCACTGACAGGGGTTCATATTACAGACAACAAGCGTGGCTTCAGTAGCGTCTTCTCAGTTCCTAGAACGTAGAACTTCCAGTGTATCAGTAATTACAATAGCGATCTCACAAGTAGCGTAGGACGTACTAGTAGCATCAGACAATGCAATACGAACGCCGCGCAATCGCTTATACGATGAGCTAAAATCTGCGGGCAGCCGACACTCGGGATTTCATGGCCCACCTTCTATTATTATGGAAATCGTGATGATCCTTTGAGGAACTGTTTGGCATCGCTTTACTGATAGGTGTAATTACAGCGTACGATCTGTAGTGATGTGTTTGGACCTTACCAGAAAGTTCCAACCACATGCCAATCACGGGGTTTAAGGTTGACTTCCTATTTTTTGAATCATTCTGTGTTCTGATTAAACCCATCTCTTGAAGGTGTTAGAGAAGGACTTAAACGTTGGCCATACCATAAAACAGCTCACAATTAAATGCCACTACGACACTGAAATGGAGTAGAATGCGTGGCGCATCCCAAAATGGGAGTGATCAACGCCCATTAAGTTATACTTTATTTTTTACTGCAAGTAATAAATTACATAGGTGATGTTATGGTGCTTGTGCATGTATCGTGCATAGTGCTGAGACGTGCAAAACTACATAATTACGTGCGTTTTCAAGGCACAAACCAATCAGTCCATCCATGCTGCCGTTTATGATTTGGGCAGTCCTCCTCGCTAGCCACAACGGCTTTGTCGTCACATCCCAACCTCTGAAGCAAGTATATTACTTGCTAATTCTTCCCATCAATAAAGAAATCTGAACAAAACTCACAAGACAGGTGCCACTTATGCAATAATGATCCTGGCCGCATGGGGTACCATCAGGGAATTGGCCTTTGTTCCGGATCAGCTCCGAGTCAATTAGGTGGCACCAAATCTTGCAAGGTTGGGTTGTGTCTGGAACGCACTACAGTGTTAAACAAAATTCAAAGTATGAGGCTTGATTTCAGTGAATAGGCATTTAAAGGACGAATTCACGCTGGAAAGGCAACCCATTTCAAATTAACTTAGCGATGGTGAGTGGTACACTAAAGAAGGAAAAACCATGAGAAACGGCCCAGAACCCGAGAAATGGGACCCCTTCCTTGCCCGTTGATTTGAGCATTGATGCGACTATCATCGCTGTGCCCTCTTCAACACTACGCTCTCTCACCTATCTAATCACTCGCCACGTATAGACCTGCGGCGAGTGATCAGATGATCGGTGGGCGTGCACTGACCAGCCGCGGCGGGATTAAACCTTAATAGGTCAACGAGGTCAACTCCTCCTGTGCAAATTGTGCTTCAGTTCGCACACTTAGGAGCTCCGCGGGTCCCTCAACCAGGTGAATTCTTCCTAATTCGATTTTCCCTCTGATCGTGAATTCGTCCTTTAATCCATTAGACGAGGCACGGCTCAGTTATAACACATAAATCTGCTCTTTGCCCCTGTCCTAACCTAGACCGCTACTAGCGCCTACCTGAATTGGATATGGAGCATTGCATTATTTGGCTGTACTGAGCAATTTTCACAAAAATACTTACGCTCAAACCCTTCTCCAGTCAGCTGCCGATCTGGTTTGACTGGGTCATGCTTAATGGATGAGCATATGCGGTTACTGTATTCCTCTCGAGAAAATCCTAGAATTGAATTAGATTCTCTATTGAGCAAGACCTTCGACTTTTAATATTTATTGGTTAAATCTGTGTGGGAATCAATCAAATAATTCTTAGGCGTTCGTAAGAACAAACCTCGACAAGAGCTGTGGTGCGCTGAACAGAGAATTCCACGGATTGCGGCTCCCTCACATGGAAGCCCCCCATTGTTCGGCCTGAAGGTTTTGAAATATATCTTGCCATCCAATCCTTGTGGTACTCTTCCTTCATATAGTACCTACTCAACCAGCTTTCTTCAAAGAAACCAGGAATCGAAAATGTTTCTCATGTCATGAAATTCGTCGTTCAAGTGCAGAGGTTAGGCTGGAGTGTAGGCAAGGCTACCCCTAGACGAATAGCACCTCTGGGGACCGGTCCAGGGTCAACCGGCCGTTGGACAAAGTCCAACGAGGGGGTCGTATTGATGACTCCACGAGAAGGTCGAAGGTCGGAAAGGGAAACTTGCTTGTTGAAAACCAGGCAAACCCCTATGAGTGCCGACTGACACGCAGCGAGAGATATGCCCCCGGCGATCTAGGATGGCTCTCTCCGCCGCGATTGCCAATGCGTCCTCATGCCATTGGCCACGGTTAGGCTAGCTGTTAGCAGCGTACGGTCACCGGTCGCGTGTTCATACTCGCGGCTGGTTACCGGTGTTAAGGCAATGTTCATCGAGTGATGCGATGAGGGCAGCTCAAGGCCAAGGAGATTGTCTTCCCGAGCTGGCAGAGCGCCTGTCATCCCAACGCTGGTCGTGTCCTCCCCACTCACCGTTTGGGAGCAGCTCTTACAACCATCCCGACTAGGATACTTGGCTGGATGGAGCCCCGGATGAACCCGAGCACAGTGGGGGTTTTTTGCGTAATGCCAGCTGGTGTACTCAGCGAGATGACTCACGGAGCTCGACGAAAGTGGTGAGTCAATACATACGCTTAAATATGTGTGACTGACATTTACTTGTTCCATGTTTATGTGGTTGTACCCTAGTTCATATCTGGGTGTTGTCTTTGTGTGTGTCAGGTGTCTTTCCACAAGGTAAGTTCCCCTTTCCGACCTTTGACCTTCTCGTGGAGCCATCAAAGCATTTCTCTACTGCGTGAAGATATCTTTCAAAATAGAGAACAAACGATTATTGGGTCAATACCAAAAAGCAAAATAAGATGCAAACGAGACTTGAACGGCTCACGCTGGATTCACGCAATCGCGATGCTGTGGCCGAATTGCAATGCTGTCAGTGATCTGGCAGTGCTGTACAGGACATCTGTCGTCGGTGCTCCACCTGGACCATCCGCCATGAATCACTTGTGGCGACGGTCCGGACGCCCATGGCAGACACTGGCCTTCATGACACCACTAAAATCAGAATGTCACTGATTAAAAAGTGGGAGGTTATAGTGCAATGATCAATATTACCCTGCCACCTCCACAGTAGCTGCCTTCCAAAGCTGGATGGGCCGTTGAGATTGTAGATCCACCATTTCCACACCACAGTATACGACAAATGTCCTGAGCGTTCAGTATAAAGACAATGCTAATGACAAACCTCTATGGTGAGCATCAATACTGAACGAACGCTACGATACAGGTTTTACACTCCCCTTTACCCTGACCCTAAAGATATTTATTTTATTTTATTTTATTTATTTATTTATTTATGCACTCAATGGTGCGCTACAACAGGGCAGAAGGTGTTAGTTCGGTACAAGTATGTTTAGACGAAAAACAAACAAACAAACAATCGCTAAACTCGTATAACAGCTGAAAAAAAAGGTCGCGCTTCCAGCATCCCAGGCCTGCCGTACACAAAAAAAGGACGACCCAAGAAAGGTCAGCATAGAACTAATGACTGCCCTCTGTTTGTGTGAGGGGACATTGCCCTAGTCGTTCAAAAATAAGGTCCATGATGAATTCATGGGGAATGGACGGATAATATTTATGTAAGCACTCATAAAAGGGGTCTTTCAGGGCAAGCCGCGCTTTTTGGAAACGGTTTCTTGCATATTGTAGGGACGCATGTATGGACCACAAAACCATGTTTCGTTTTCGCTGAACGGTTTTAGTAGTACCAAAAAAGTGGTGAATATACCTTGATGGTTCGATCCCCCGCGGCGACTAAATTTTGCAATCAAGGTTGGCGGCTTCAAAATGGTCCTGACGATGAATATGACATCTGATTTTGACATTTAGCGCGATTTGGCACCAAACCGTAGGCGCCAACCCAAATGCAAAATTTAGTCGCCACGGGGGATCGAACCATTAACAGTACCTTATGCTTCTTTTTTGGTACTGCTAAAACCGTTCAGCGAAAATGAAACATGGTTTTGTGTTCCCTACATGCGTCCCTACAATATGCAAGAAACCGTTTTGAAAAAGCGTGGCTTGCCCTGAAAGACCTCCCTTGTAGACTCCCCTTAAGCCTATCAAGCAGAGGGGGGTTTGTGCAGTTGGTGAGATTTTTACGTCAAGTATGCTATAGCTTATTTCAAGACTCCTTCTTTTCCTTATGCCGTAATTTATCTTTATGCTGGATTTAAGGCGACTTCACCGGTCATACTACAGAACGCTTCCAGTATCTCGAAGCATGCCCCTATCCGAATTAAATGGATATATTGACTATGTGAGCGTGGTTACAGGAGTCATTCCGCACTCCTTATTGGCTGATCCTTCCCATATCAGCAAGACGCAAATGGTGATGAGCAATCTCGGCCATCCCGCTCACACACTTACAATGAAGATCATTCAGGGTCTGAAGCGGTTTTTAAAAGTGGTTCTTGCAAAATATTGGGGCTCTCACATAGATTACAAATAGATTCATTTTTGCTGTTCTCGAAGGTTAAAAAAGAATCGAAAAAAATTGCATGGAGTGGATGATTTCAGTACAGTGTCGGATGATGTAAGGAATTTCAAGCGATGAGAACCCGCCCTGCTAATAAATATAACACCTTGTGTGCTGTTGGGAGGAACTTAATAAGCTCTAACTTAAAATGCAAAAAATGTGCCACCATGGGAATTGAGCGTTGCACATGCTTTCAACACTTTTTGGCCTACACGTGGCCGTTCATCAAAAATGGATCTTGGTTAAAACCGTTTTGGAAAATTGCTCCACACTAAAAGACCTCCCTTGTCAGTACGTCGAGCCCTTAACACCTTAACAACAACGCGCATTTCGATTTTTTCTTGGTCGCGTGGAACAGGCGCGATTCTGCGAACCCTTAACGTGGCGTCCGCCTCACCTCTCGTCCCTAGATTTGAATTACAAGTATGCAAAACCTAAGTGGGGCAAAACTGTTTCTTATTCAGTGCGTGAAATTTGCTCGGATATAATAAAAAAAATACGATTAACAGAGAATGTAATAGCAACAATGGATCAAGTTTAGCCCAGAGGATGTAATGGTAATTTTACTTGTTTATCACATATGTTTTGCTATCGTAGAGCTTGTATTTGCTTCTTACTCTTTTCATTTACTTTTTCTTTTATTTTGCTCATGATTAAAGGGAAACGACCAATGAAATGAACCGTAATTTGTGTAGCCTCCAGAAAACAACCGATAAACTAACGCATATTTTACCGTAAAATGAGCCATGCTATAATATTTAACCTCCCCTTCAAAAAGCGAGAAAGTGTCGGGTGCAGACCAAACACCACAACTGACGACGGCCTCCAAGTAAATCTGGTTAGAAGTTGTTCATAGTGATAGCTGATTTCTGGTAAATGATAGTTGTAATTAGTGACAATCGATAGAATACAACTGCAACAGGCTAATCATTTCATTGGCAGAAAACATTAACATTTTGTGAAGGCCGTCGTCACTTGTGGTGCATGGTCTGCACCCGACACTTTCTCGCTTTTTGAAGGGAAGGTACAATTGTGGCGTGATGTATAATATATACAAACGGTCTAGAGCGAGGGTTTGCCATGTTATTGGGTTGCTTAATTATGAAGTGGGGATGCTGAGTAATGCTACGGTGGCGAAGAAATCGAAGAAATCTCTCAAATCTCTCAGGAAAATGGGACCAGAGTCAACCCTGCGTTGCGCAGTTCTCAACGGCCACGTTGCGCAGTTTCGCCCGATTAGACACGTTCTCTCGCGCGAACATTCACACTCGCATGCTCGAGCCGTCTGTGTCTCCGCCCATACAGCGTGCGTTGAGGATCTCTCAACGTGCCGTTGCGAACTGCGCAACGCAGGGTTGACTCTGAATGGGACCCCTTTCTTTGCGTGTTGATCTGAGTAATGGACAGGCCAACAACAAGTCAAAGGAATCCTTCGCGGAAAAATCATGATTCTATTTCAGCCATAAATCACTGGCTTGAGACTCATTATCCACGATAAGAATGAAAAGAACAGAAAATTGCTTTCGTTTTGGTAAAAAATTCGAAAAATCGAAAGGGCTGCTACGCGTTCAAAGTGCCCACGGACGTCTTTCACAAATGCTGGCGACGGGGATGCTTCCACTTGGTTCTTGGAGTGCCTTCACTAGAAACTCTTTCTGGCCTTCTGCTTTATTGCATTCACATCTTACACTTCTACTCCATCCTATTCTATCGATCGATTTGTCTCTACTCTCCGAAATCGCGCGCTTTAACCCGATTCTTCATTGCGTCGCCTGATACGTAGCCGGCCAAAGGCCAACTTCTTTCCATGCCTCGTTTGGCTCCGCCCGAATTACCTTCGATGTCCATAACGTGTAGTTTTTGTACGTTTGTTTCTCTTCGGAAACCGAATCTTCATGCGTGAAACTTTGTGTGCTGTTTCCAGTGATCACAACTGACACATTCATGTCAAGAAAGAATGCAAGAATTTTCCGCGAAGGATTCCTTTAAGGGGTCGTTCGCACGTCCTAAACCGATAGCCACCATTATGCCAACAGTCATCATGCTTTTGCTGACATTTACAATTCTTATAGGATTCGCGCTCAAAGTGGAATGCTTTTTCCAAATTGGTAATACACTGATGGGCGGGGTACGATCGGAGCGGAGTTTAGAAAGGATTGGAAAGCCCAATGTGCTACATCTAGTTCACTTGGGCCGTGAAAATGCCACATTTCGCTTCTTCTGGCTCCTGGCCACTGCTTGAATGGTTGCATGTACTCCATGCTGCACACACTTTGTCGTAATCCGTCGTGTAAAGCAACAATCCAAGAACGAATTCGCGGGCAAAAACCACCGATAATGAAGTTGTGGGTGAAAGTTGACCAATAATGAAAGAAAAAAAAAAGACGTCGAACAGGGACTTAGACAGGGACTCCCCCTCGCCACTTAGCAATGGAGGAAGACGCTCGTTGGACGAGTTGTATGAACATGCCCGCAGTAAATGCGCCCCAATTGCAATAGCTGGCAATAGCTGGCACTTGCCAGTATTGCCAGCTATTGCAATTGGGGCGCAATAATGGGATCGTTTCATGTTTTGAAGGTAGAAGGTAGAAGGAAAAAATGTAGAAATTCAGCGTTGTCGGCATCACTACATCGATTGCTTTAAAGGATCGACCTCAAATAGTCCCGGCGGTCCCGCAACGACCGCCAATCAACTACGCGCTCTTCACAGCAGCAAGAGGCCCTTCCTACGCGATTCAAAGGTAAGTTTCCATTTCAGTGAC